TTGATGTCCTATACATCCTAGCAATTATGCGTGGCAATGATATAATTGAAAAATGATTGTCCAACACCATACTAATTTACTTTGTTACACATCAATGTATACACGAATTTGCATTTAAATGTTTTCCATATCGAACACAACAAATACAGATTTCAATACAAATGTTACATTACGGCAGCAGTACACTATACACCTTTTACCAAAATATACACGTAAATTATTGTATGACTGTTTGATATCGTGAATTCACCTTCTTATATTTAGAGCAAAATACCTCAGTTTATGAAATGCTTAAACATAAAAAAGCAAAAAACACATTTACACTGGTTCATACTCGGCACGCAAGCGAACGCAACTTTGTTACGTCATGCTAAGTTTTCCTGTCACAAATTCGCAAAAGTTTAACACCTTTTAACACCAACACATTTCGTAGCGAACGTTTTCCCCAACGTCAAATGCGCTTTGCAATTGCAAACCTGTAAAGTATAAACCGGATTTTACTCAAAAAGTTTGATCACTAAAAATAATTGAATTCTCGAGATGGTTTGCCACTAGCCACTGCGACCTTCTTTTTTTTTTGTCTGTGAAGTATCACCTTTAACAATTCGTAAATGTATTTATATAGAATACTTGTATGGAAACGTTCTTCATTGTATTGAAGATTTATGATAAAAGCACAATGAACAACGTAATATCAGTGTTTGAATACTCGTACCCGTACTCTTTCTTACTCGAGTACAACTCGAATACACGCAAGTTCTCGGCCCGTACGCGACTATTAATGCTCGAAAAAAAAAACTGAACTTGGCCCGTACTCGATTCTTTGTACTCGAATTGTGCCCGGCGGATGATGGTTTGGTGTTCGGTACTGGACTCCTGTAGGGCCTACTCTGGCGTAAAAATCGAGTACATTTCCTTTTAATCGATTCCATAGCTCAACCTGGAACGCAACGCTGGCGCGGTGGCGCAGTTGCAGTCTGTATTACGGCCAAGTCTAGTTCCCGCCTCCCAAATTACTACTAACTTTCGAAGTCGTAGCAGTGATGATTCGCGAATGTGGAGCCAGCCAAGACCATGCTTCTTATGTCAGCTCGCCGCATCACAGTTACCAGTGAGGCCATTTTGGGGATTTTCCATATACTTGTCCCTCTGCACATGCAGTGTTTGGTGAGCACATTTTAAGCATAGGTATTGTCCGTTGCCTAGGGAAATCACAGTGTACTTGGACTCGGCCCGTAACTCGGTCTCTAAAGTACTCGGAGTACTCTGTACTCGGATTTGAGGACTCGACTTCAACACTACGTGATATGCAATGATAAAAAAAACTATAGAACAAAAATACTGCAATGTTAATGTAATCACATATACAGGACTAGCGAGCGCCGTGCTATAGTAAACATTTGGGGCCTCGTCGAACAAAACACGACTGGCTCTAACGACTTACCCTAAAGTCTAGGTATTCTGATAAATCTGTACACACGTAGCAATTGATAACATTGAGCAATGATGACATGCTGTTTCCATTAAGAGATACGAGCATACATTTGTACTGCGGTAAACCGCAATCTTCATGTTAACAAATATATTAATCAATATCATATGAATTTGTGAAATATACAACAAATTGGTGAATAACATGCACCTGTATTCAGACCCAAAGCCACATTCACTAAAAACGTAGTCATGAACTTTTTTAAAAGGCTTTGGTATTACCGTCAATCCATCTGAGGAAACATACAGAATAACTAATACCAACTCGCCCCTTAAATCTACCTTTAACAGCAAAGTGCACGGAAACCCTTATTAGGTATAGTCTAGTACCGACAGAGAAATCAATTTTTAATTCACTTTTAATGATTGGTTTCACGGTCCTTTGGTAATATGTACATTTGTTTACGATGGTTTCGCGCACTCCTTAGTGAGTGCGCGAAACCATCTTTGAAAGGTGAAATACATTTTCTTCATGGATTTCGATTAAAAAAAAAAGCATTGGCACCACTGACGATTGAATTCAGTCTTTGAACATCAAGAAGTCTACACTATGCTAAAACAGAAACTTACTGAGAAATTCGATGTGTTAGTAGACATCATGTAGAGCCCCCAGCTGGTAACTCTCGTGTTTGGTGTCAACAATACGCGAGAACAAAAACAACCAAAACAACATTCGTGGATGTAGTTTTTTTACTTAAAGATAAGTTGTATTAAACAGTTAAGATATCAAAACTCCAATGATGCAATAACGCAGATATTAACAATTTTCAATACATTTTAAACTAAAACAAAACAAAACAACGGTGCCAATGCAATTTAAAATCTAAAAATTGGCCAACACAAGCCACCATTTTATTTGTATCCTGAAAACGGTACAATGGCGAGGCCAATCTGGTCGCGTTTTTTTTTCCGTTGGAAATAGGATCACAATGTGAAGAGCTATCATTAATAATGCAGTAACTGCGGGGAAATGAGAGGAGGTACATTAACCTTTTTATAGTGCATTACAAGAGAGACATTAATCCAATACCATTAACCTTTTCATTGTACAGTTCAACGAAGCGCAAAGCCAACATAAAAAAATTCTAATCGTCTTTGTACTCTTTTATCAGAGAGTACGTGTAACCCTCGGTGTAGATTGTCTGGTGCGCACACATGCACGACCCAAGGTCATTTCGTACCATCACTCATCTAGGGCAATATAAAGAACAACTTAAGCCAACTCGTCTCTTATTTTTTTCCTTTCAACACAAAGTGCACGTAAACATTTGTGGTATAGTCTGGTACCGACGGAGATTTCAAATTCAATTGCAAACATCACTTTTAATGATTGGATTCAAGGTTAGGTAAGAGTGGTGAGTTAGCAAGTGTGCGAAACCATCGTAAAAAAGTCTGGTACATTTCTACTCATGGTGTATAATTGTATAATTTGTAAAACCTAAGTATAGGCCAAACTGTCAACTCACAGCCTGTGATCATCCAGGGCCCAATTTAATAGCGCTGCTTAACAGCCGACTTTGTGCTTACCGAGCCTCCATCTATTTCAAAGAAACCGTTAAGCAGTCAGCACAGCAAAAGCACGCTTAACCACAGAAGAAACTTTGCTTAAATCAGTGACGTAACAATATAAATCTCCATGCGCGCGCAGCCGTTAGTATGAAATAGTGCTTAAGCAGCAGCATGATTTTCTGCTATAGCAGGGACAACTTTTCTGCTTACTGTTAAGCGGTGCTATGAAATTGGGCCCTGATGTTTACAATAAAAGCCAATATTAGGATCGTGTAAATCCTCCAGCTGGTAATCATCGGCGGTTTTAGTGTCAACCATACGCGAGAAAAAAATACCACACAACTACTCTTGTGTGTATTTCTTTTAAAGTTTGTAAATTATTTGTGTATGTTTGTACTGCCATGGCAATATAAGCCTTCGGCTTCTGCGCATGCCACCATATTGCTGTTTTTATAATTTATTATTTGTGAATTTGTTAATACCTTTTGCAGACGTTGAGGAAACCACATTTTTTTTGCATTGGTGATTAGTGACCGCTGTTCCCGAGACACATCGTGTATATAGTACACAGTATGAGAACGACACGAAAAACGTATTCGTACTCCGTGGTGTCCGATGTAAACAAACGGGGAATTGTCCTCTTTTCTCGAGAACGGTAAGACATAAGGTTGGTTTTCTTTCAACCACATGTTTGAAATAGGATAGGTAAACAATCCAAAACATGAAATTTCGGGAATTTCAGGACCTAGTGTTATTTTTCTATTTACCGCTCTTTCTTTTATTTATGGACGTAATCTCTAAAGGAGTGTGGAATAAATGTCTTCTTGAATTGAATTGAATTGAATTGAATTAAATCGATGTTGATTAATCAACTTGAATATTACAAACAGTAAATTCGAATGACAAACGTTTTTAAATAGCCGGCAAAACCTATATTTTTTTTCCGGGAGATACTTCTTCAGTTTAAGACACAACAACTCATAAGAGTCAGTAGTAATTATTCTGAATCTTCAGTACATTCTTGCTTTGTGATAAATATTTCTCCTACCAACGCGCAACGCTGAACCCGCACACCAACATGAATTTGCACATAAACACCGCGCCATGGAACAAGAACGATCCTAACTAACGGAATAAATGTGTGTTTCGGAGGTATTATAACACTCTGTTTAAAACCGGTGTGAGTTTGGATGGGTGATAATTACCTGAGGCGAAGCCGAGGGTAATTATTACCCATCCCGACTCACACTGGTTTTAAACAGAGTGTTTAATACCGACGGAACACATATTTATTCCCTTTCATAAATACCTTTTTGGTCAAAAACCAAATCTTTTCGGTCCAAAAATCGAAAGAAGTCAAAAACTAGACGCTGCCAACCATTTTGTTCAACAATTTTACTTCATGTTTTATGAAACACCCCTCTGACTATCATATGGAATAACCCTCCACAATTGCGTGCGCGTCGTGCATTCCACCTCCATGGTCGCGCGTACTGCGCGATGTCACGCAAAACGCAGCTGCGCTGGTGTATTACGAATATCGGATTATGAAATAATGATTCACTGGTAGTATTGCGCATGCATACGTTGGGATTTTGAACGTTCAACCAATGAAACGTAAAAGGCACCGGATTTCATGGGGGTCCACATTTCATGTGACACTGGAAAAGTGTTTAAGACCAGCTAGCCATGTCTTTATCATCCGTTTAAGACCGGCCACGTGACGGGCTCTCGACCAATAGGAATGCGTAAACGGTCTTGGGTATTTATGAATGTTCAATAGTATTTCCCATTCCCCATGGGCGGATAGTACTTTTTGAGCCCCGGCGTGTATGGCAGTAATAACAAATGTCACGTGATGTGAGTTCCACAAATCGAATGACAAGGATCTGTATATCGGTTATTTAATATTTATTATCAACTTTAATAATATCTACCGTCGCGTTTACTTTATATAGATTGAAAGTTTGTCAGCGCTGTCGGAGAGAATCGCGTGAATGCTTCAGCTGAATTAATCACGGCGACATCCAAGCAGCTCCAATCGCAGAGCAACACCTATATACCATTCAGTAGGCTCAATGCGCACCACCGTGGCCTCCACACTCTCATCAAACAGGTTATTGACCGGGTTGTCGGCATCAGTGTTACCGATGAACACCTGAAATGAATGCCAACGCAATGAACGCACATTTGTAACAAAATAGCCTACTTTTAGTAAAGTCTAGGACCAAAACTACAAAAAAGTGGGCATTCTTAGCTGACGGGATCTTCCTTCAAACCAGAATTTCAACAAACCGTAATAAGTATATAAAGTAAACTGTTTGTCCTGGGTTGGGACCCACTTTTAAGATTATTTCAGCCATATAGACATCTCTTGACTGGGCTCATTTGGGTTCCTATTTGAGCTTCAGAGCATTTTGCTTTTGGGTGGCGGAAAGCTATTTTCTCTTCAATAATCTTTATATGAGAGAATGCAGCATCAATCTTTTCTGATGTTTCTTCTTGGTTGCTAGTACGTGTCAAAAAATGTCCTGCTTTTGATCCTTAAAACCTTAAATCTCGACCTCTTGCACAAAGCTAATTAAACTCGCTCCATACAATTTGTCATTCCTTGTTTACATGATCTGAAATTATTTTTGGTTCCATTTACGTTTTTAAATAACATTGCATATTGCAATAAAGCCCAAACAAAATATGAGAAAAAATACGTGACTTTTTATTTTCAAAACAGTTTAACGTACAAAGTTCAATTTATCTTACAGCAAGACTTAGTAAAGATTGATGTTTACCTTGATGTCTCCGTTTCCATCTGTCACGTATTCGCGTTGGGATGAAGGCTGCTGCTGATACGCCACCTTGTACCGCATCACGTACCATCTGCTGCCGCTGCCTTGTGTGGTTACTCCAGTCACCACTGTAGGCTCAACGAGGTCTACCTCGATCCAGGAATTGATGGGGCTATGTACACAGAGTGAAGAGAGAATAAGGAACAATGACGTAACAATACCCTGCAAATCCTGTTGTGGAACGGATTTGAAATTCAAATATTATTATTGACACCCGTTACAGTGTGCAATTCAAATGCGCATGAGTCCGGGTTGGGCTTTGGCCGGCGATAATTGTTTAGATAATGAAAAGAAAAACAATTGCAAAAAAGAAAAACAATGCCAAACAAAATAAAACAAACGTACTAAAACAAAATCCCACTGATGCAATTCTATATTCATTAATCAACACATTCAGGAGCGCTTTGTGGCATTTTAATGATACAGAGTGTATAAAGATATGAGAGTGAAGTGTCAGGTGTGGTATTTCCCTTTGATACCTACCTCACGGCTTCCCATTTGCTGTTATTGTTGAGGCGTCCATCAGTGGCAGGGGAACCGTTGTAACTAAAGGACGCCGTGATGCGATCATCTTTGATTGTCCCGTCCTCCATACCAAGGGGTTGCGGACTGGAACACTCTGCTGGCAACAAATGAGCAGGCAAATGAAGGATTTATGCATATTGATAGTAAAAAATATACATTATTGTGAGAAAGATAATTCGATCCTCAACTTTGTTTGGGAGTAAGGCGCATAATTATAACTGCAAATTTATACCTACAAAAATCAGATTGATGGTAGGGCCTCGTTATTGCAAATATGAAAAAGGCTTCCCCTCCCTCGAATTTGGCAGTGAGAAATATTTTTAATTTTGGAAAAAAAACAACGAGCATGACCAGCTGGGAGTAGGTTGGGTTTCTCCGTACCAGCTGGGGTAGGTTTCCCCGTACCAGCTAAGGTAGGTTTCTCCGTACCAGCTGGGGTAGGATTCTCCGTACCACCTGCGGTCGGTTTCTCCGTACAAGATGGGGTAGGTTTTTCCGTACCAGCTTGGGTAGAATTCTTCGTAACGGCTTGGATAGGTGTCTCCGTACCAGCTGGGTGTGTTTCTCCGTACCACATGGGGCAGGTTTCCCCGTACCAAATGGGGTAGGTTTCAGATTGATAGTAGGGCTTCGTTATTGCAAATATAAAAAAGCCTCCCCCTCCCTCGAATATGGCAGTGAGAAACAGTTTGAAAGGGGAGTTCTTCTCAATACGTCAGGGACATGTTTGCAGATCTGGCGACGTTTTTACAACCAATACACACAGCTTGGTCAACTGTGTATAGGATTAAAATGTATCATTGTGACATACTTGATATATATAAGTCGTGAATGCCCTGTAGGCTTATAATGAATTTTGGAATGTAAACCATTCAGAGTGCTCGCATAAAATTCGCAAGCGATTCAAAATATACCCATATGGCCCGGTTCATTCTTCATGCGAATGCGAATGCGAATGCGAAGCGAATTTGACGTCATGAATCATTCGCAACTTTTACGAATTCGCAGCGCGAATACTTGTCACGACGTCACAAATTCGCGCTCTTCTCTTTTGCGCAGAGTATGAACCGGGCTTATGTTGTGTAAAAAGTTAAAACGTTTTCTCCAAGTCGGTAATTTATCAGAAATAGTCAGCATCATTTGGTCTGAGAACTAGACTACGCGCATTGCAGCGATGTTTTTCGTGCGTGGAACCAGTAACCAGTTACCGTACGCAGAACAATTACCGACTTGGCACCAAGTCTAGGTAATTGCACAAAAACACCTGAATTTTTAGTTCGAATTTGGAAGAGTCGTGTAACATTTTTGAAGCAAACAAGCAAACAGGGAACATATCTCATTTTAGCAGGCGTTTAACGTCATTTGCAGTCTTCTATGAACCTTAATATTCGGTAAACAAAAAAGTTCGATCTCAATACAATACATAACCTTGTGATCGAACACATCCGCATATTTGTTAGTCATACCTAAGGTATGGGTGATCGTAGGACGACTACCCGCTAGGATGGGTTGCCTCCTTCCTGGGCAACGCTTCCGTATCTCTTGCATGACTTGCTTCATCCAGTCATCCGGATTATCAGGATTTGGTTCCGGTGGGGGGCCGGAGTAACACACCCTCTGCTGGCTCTCCACACCAACCAACAGCACTTTGGAATTAATTAAATTAAAACATAGATGCAAGCCACTAATACCATGATGGTCGCGCTATAAAACAATGTGGCTAATAAAATATCAACTTGGTATTTTTTACAACTATACGACAATCAGAAGGAAACAATATATGTTTTAAGTGTAAGCCTACTGCATTTTGGGCCATTCAAAATGTTCGATGTTTTTAAATGTCGAAATTCAGTAAATCATTGTTGAAAAAAATTACACTTTTGGGGGACTTGGCTTTCATAAAATCAATAGTGGAGGGCGGGCCGGAGGGGGGGGGGGTTCGAACCATACTTTCAATTGGGGCGCTGTTCAATCCGACGATCATTTAATTTACATTACAGAATAATGTAAAAATACACCTGACCAAGCTGGCTCTGTCCGTATTTGTGCACAGGAGGACATTATTACCAATATATTTATTTTTGGGTGTCAGAGCATGGGAGGTTCGATTACTTTTAATGAATTGATATGTCAAATAAAATACAGAGCTGGGGGGGGGAACCATAATCCAAGGTTGGACCTTCATTTGTTTGTTGCCCACTGAGCTGGGCCAATTATTCAAAAAAAATATTTACTTTGCAGGCATATTCACTAGCCCCGGAAGCCCGCATGTTTTTTTCTTTTATAGTGTGGCGTCCGTGCCGGTCGGCCGCCAGAGGGCACCAGCGCGGTTCCACGGTGAAGCTGCGCAGTGGAGCCTCTGGTGGCCGGCCGGGGAGGCACGTTCTTCCGGGCGGCGCATGCGCAGTAGTATTGTTGTTGCCTCGTTGCTGAAGAGTATAGTTGTGTTTTGCAGTGTACGTTTTTGTGAGGAATAAACAGCCTGAACCAGCAGAAACGAGTATACCTGTGTTGGAGTCCTTTTTGAGTGCGTGTGAGGGTACCCCAGAATTGTTCTACGCTACATTGGTGGCAGCGGCGGCACGCAGAAGGCGGAAAAACAGGTGCATTTTTCAGATATTTTCTGCAATGAATTCAGGAGATCACGGAAGTCTGGCACCTAACTCGCCACACGGCGAGGAGGCAGGCTGGAGTGCAGGCTCACGGAGTGGGGGCCCGTTTAGTGGATCGGCCGGCAGTACCTTCGTCACGGTGGACAAGTTGGAATCCTTTTTGCGGGATAGTCCGGGGAATTTTGGAGGGAGGAAAGGGGAAACAAGGGGATTTCTGGGGACGGATTTTCTCATGAGGGAGGATGTGGGGGATGGTAGTGGAAGTGGACCCTGTCCCACGAGGGGCCGCCCCGTGCTGTAGACGGCGGCGCAGCAGACGGTTCGTTCCAATCGGAACGATCCCGAGTTGTGCTGGTCGATGCAGCGGGGGTGGAGCTTCGTCGGGATATACCCCAGATATTCTGTAACAACACAGTATATGCCAGGTCCCACGAGGGGCCGCCCCGTGCTGTAGACGATGGCGCAACAGACGTTTCGTTCCATTCGGAACGATCCCGAGTTGTGCTGTCCGATGCAGCGGGGGCGGGGCTTCGTCGGGACATGCCCCAGTTTGTTGGTAATAAAGCCGCATATGCCGGGTCCCGCGAGGGGCCGCCCCGTGCTGTAGACGCTAGCGCAGCAGACGTTTCGTTCCATTCGGAACGATCCCGAGCTGTGCTGGTTGATGCAGCGGGGGCGGGGTTTCGTCCTGGGGCAACCCGCAATCCCTACGCTCATGAAAATAGTACTGAAGCGCCACTCGGTGCTTACATGGATACGACTGGTGTGGCCTCCCATTCGGGGCGCCCCCAGGCTGGATTTGCCCATATAGCGGGGGCGGGAAACCGTCCGAGCACGCATCAGGCGGCACAACCGGGCGTGGATCTCCCCCAGCAGTACTTTCGTCCCCACTATCGCAGTGCGGCGAGTCCTGACCTCCACTCGGAGCAGGCCCGCTATGCACGAGTCAATGGACGGGAGTCCGTAGAGTTGCTCCGCTCACAAGTCAATGGGGCAGAGCTGCTCCGCACACAAGTCAATGGTGCGGAGCCGACGAGGTTGCTCCGCAAGGGAGTTTATGGGGCGGAGCCGACAGAGTTGCTCCGCACACAAGTCAATGGAGTGGAACCCGTGAAGTTGCTCCGCACACGAGTCAATGGGGCGGAGCCGACAGAGTTGCTCCGCACGGACGTCTATGGCGCGGAGCCGGCAAGGTTGCTCCGCACGAAAGTCAATGGGGCAGATCTGCTCCGCACACAAGTCAATGGTGCGGAGCCGACGAGGTTGATCCGCACGGGAGTTAATGGGGCGGACCCGACAGAGCTGCTCTGCACACGAGTAAATGGAGTGGAACCCGTGGAGTTGCTCCGCACACGAGTCGATGGACGGGAGTCCGTAGAGTTGCTCCGCACACGAGTCAATGGGGCGGAGCCGACAGAGTTGCTCCGCACGGACGTCTATGGCGCGGAGCCGGCAAGGTTGCCCACCGCACGGGAGTCAATTGGGCAGAGCTGCTCTGCACACAAGTCGATGGTGCGGAGCCGACGAGGTTGCTCCGCACGGGAGTCAATGGGGCAGAGTTGCTCCGCACACAAGCCAATGGGGCGGAGCCGGCACGGTTGCTCCGCACACAAGCCAACAGAGCGGAACCGACCCGGCTGCTCGGCCGTACACCACTGCAGTTAGGAGATCCCCTGGGACGTCACCACCCGGTGCTCCCAGGGGGCCGACCCGGTTTCTGCCGATGTTTGGGCGGCCCCTAAACAGGCGGGGGGCGCGCTCCCCAAGTGCCAGTCGAGCGGGGGACTACAACGCCTGATCACTTCGGGCCGGGGGGTCGGAGACCACTGATGCTCCCCAACAAGTTTGACGGGATCTCGTCATGGTCGGATTACTTGATCCATTTCGAGAGCGTTGCAGCAGTCAAACAGTGGGGTGAGGCGGAGAAGGCAATGTTCCTTGCATCTCACCTAAAGGGCACGGCTCAGGAGGCATTGGTGGATATGGTACCGGAAACGCGGAAGGAATATTCCTCTATTTTGGAAAACTTCGAGCAGCGGTTTGGGGTGACAGCACAGATTCCACTACATCGGGCTCAGTTGTCTATGTGTACGAGGGGAGACGAGTCACTCAGTAGCCTAAGACAATCCATCCGACGGTTGGTGTTGAAGAGCTACCCGAAGCTGCCCACACAGGCCCGTGAGGATTTGGCGGTCGAGGCTTTCCGCAATGCCCTGCGAGAGGAACAGCTGCAGCGTCACATCTTCTCCAGGAAAGCAACGACTTTGACCGAAGTAGTCACTCTGGCGACCGAAATGGAAGCATTTCTCGAGTCGCAAGCGCAAAACAGAAAAGGGAAACCGATGGCTAGGGACGTGAGGTCGGTAGCCCAGCCTCCTCCAACCCCTGCCGAGGAACCCAAATCGGCTGCCTGGGCCGTGTACACACCAGCTGCGCGTGCCCAGGTGGAGTGCTATGGGTGCCACGAAAAAAGGCGGTACTGCCCTAATCAGAAACGGCAGTCTGCCTCCTTCCAACCACGACCACAGAAAGAGGAAATACCGAAACTTCCTGTTCCGGAGCCGGCTGTTCGGGCCAGGCCGGCCTCGGGTGGGACGTCTCAGGCGAATTACGTGGCGGGGAGGATCGCGGGGAAACCAGTGCGTTGCCTCCTAGACACCGGAGCAACAGTGAGTCTGATCTCGGAGCGAATCTACAACGCCTGGCCGTCATCTCCAGCTCTGAGAATGGCGGACGGCAGCCCCATGCCAACAAGAGGAGGGGGCAACTTCGACTTACAAGTTGGGGATCTGCGCGCAAACCACACCTTTACTGTGGCCGATATCGAGCCAGACGTCATACTCGGAATTGATTTCTTGTCAAAGTATTACTGCGAATGGCAATGGGGAGACAACGCTGTCATCATTAACGGGAAGGCGGTCCTCTTGGGAGGTGTTACGCACAAACCCATAGTGGCAAGAGTGCAGGTGACGGAGAACATGATAATCCCAGCTGGTCACGAGGCGATCCTCACGGGGGAGATAAAGACTGAACCACGGATGGGAGTCGGGATGGTTTACCCGGGGGTGGAGCTTCGTCGGGATATACCCCAGATATTCTGTAACAACACAGTATATGCCAGGTCCCACGAGGGGCCGCCCCGTGCTGTAGACGATGGCGCAACAGACGTTTCGTTCCATTCGGAACGATCCCGAGTTGTGCTGTCCGATGCAGCGGGGGCGGGGCTTCGTCGGGACATGCCCCAGTTTGTTGGTAATAAAGCCGCATATGCCGGGTCCCGCGAGGGGCCGCCCCGTGCTGTAGACGCTAGCGCAGCAGACGTTTCGTTCCATTCGGAACGATCCCGAGCTGTGCTGGTTGATGCAGCGGGGGCGGGGTTTCGTCCTGGGGCAACCCGCAATCCCTACGCTCATGAAAATAGTACTGAAGCGCCACTCGGTGCTTACATGGATACGACTGGTGTGGCCTCCCATTCGGGGCGCCCCCAGGCTGGATTTGCCCATATAGCGGGGGCGGGAAACCGTCCATGGCGCGGAGCCGGCAAGGTTGCTCCGCACGAAAGTCAATGGGGCAGATCTGCTCCGCACACAAGTCAATGGTGCGGAGCCGACGAGGTTGATCCGCACGGGAGTTAATGGGGCGGACCCGACAGAGCTGCTCTGCACACGAGTAAATGGAGTGGAACCCGTGGAGTTGCTCCGCACACGAGTCGATGGACGGGAGTCCGTAGAGTTGCTCCGCACACGAGTCAATGGGGCGGAGCCGACAGAGTTGCTCCGCACGGACGTCTATGGCGCGGAGCCGGCAAGGTTGCCCACCGCACGGGAGTCAATTGGGCAGAGCTGCTCTGCACACAAGTCGATGGTGCGGAGCCGACGAGGTTGCTCCGCACGGGAGTCAATGGGGCAGAGTTGCTCCGCACACAAGCCAATGGGGCGGAGCCGGCACGGTTGCTCCGCACACAAGCCAACAGAGCGGAACCGACCCGGCTGCTCGGCCGTACACCACTGCAGTTAGGAGATCCCCTGGGACGTCACCACCCGGTGCTCCCAGGGGGCCGACCCGGTTTCTGCCGATGTTTGGGCGGCCCCTAAACAGGCGGGGGGCGCGCTCCCCAAGTGCCAGTCGAGCGGGGGACTACAACGCCTGATCACTTCGGGCCGGGGGGTCGGAGACCACTGATGCTCCCCAACAAGTTTGACGGGATCTCGTCATGGTCGGATTACTTGATCCATTTCGAGAGCGTTGCAGCAGTCAAACAGTGGGGTGAGGCGGAGAAGGCAATGTTCCTTGCATCTCACCTAAAGGGCACGGCTCAGGAGGCATTGGTGGATATGGTACCGGAAACGCGGAAGGAATATTCCTCTATTTTGGAAAACTTCGAGCAGCGGTTTGGGGTGACAGCACAGATTCCACTACATCGGGCTCAGTTGTCTATGTGTACGAGGGGAGACGAGTCACTCAGTAGCCTAAGACAATCCATCCGACGGTTGGTGTTGAAGAGCTACCCGAAGCTGCCCACACAGGCCCGTGAGGATTTGGCGGTCGAGGCTTTCCGCAATGCCCTGCGAGAGGAACAGCTGCAGCGTCACATCTTCTCCAGGAAAGCAACGACTTTGACCGAAGTAGTCACTCTGGCGACCGAAATGGAAGCATTTCTCGAGTCGCAAGCGCAAAACAGAAAAGGGAAACCGATGGCTAGGGACGTGAGGTCGGTAGCCCAGCCTCCTCCAACCCCTGCCGAGGAACCCAAATCGGCTGCCTGGGCCGTGTACACACCAGCTGCGCGTGCCCAGGTGGAGTGCTATGGGTGCCACGAAAAAAGGCGGTACTGCCCTAATCAGAAACGGCAGTCTGCCTCCTTCCAACCACGACCACAGAAAGAGGAAATACCGAAACTTCCTGTTCCGGAGCCGGCTGTTCGGGCCAGGCCGGCCTCGGGTGGGACGTCTCAGGCGAATTACGTGGCGGGGAGGATCGCGGGGAAACCAGTGCGTTGCCTCCTAGACACCGGAGCAACAGTGAGTCTGATCTCGGAGCGAATCTACAACGCCTGGCCGTCATCTCCAGCTCTGAGAATGGCGGACGGCAGCCCCATGCCAACAAGAGGAGGGGGCAACTTCGACTTACAAGTTGGGGATCTGCGCGCAAACCACACCTTTACTGTGGCCGATATCGAGCCAGACGTCATACTCGGAATTGATTTCTTGTCAAAGTATTACTGCGAATGGCAATGGGGAGACAACGCTGTCATCATTAACGGGAAGGCGGTCCTCTTGGGAGGTGTTACGCACAAACCCATAGTGGCAAGAGTGCAGGTGACGGAGAACATGATAATCCCAGCTGGTCACGAGGCGATCCTCACGGGGGAGATAAAGACTGAACCACGGATGGGAGTCGGGATGGTTTACCCCAGCTTGGAGGCTACGGACAATTGCCGGGTCGCGGTCGCAACCGGCCTGGTTGACACAAACAATGGAACCGTGCCGGTTCGGGTTTTTAACCCGACGACCGACCCTGTAACGGTCTACAAAAGCAGCCGCTTGGCTCTCTTCTCACCGATGGAGGGTCTGGATGTGATTGAGCTGGAGGACGGGCAACAAGGATCTGCCGCCAACCACCTCCCTTTGGGTGACACCGGACAGAGGACGGATGCCCAGAGAGAGGTACCGCCCTATCTGCAAGACCTCCTGGAGCGAGGAGCCGCGAACCTTGACCGTGTTGAACGTTCCCGACTGGCTGAATTGCTGACGGAATTCGCTGGACCCGACACACAATAAATACAGGGACAGCAACGCCTATACGTCAACCGCCGAGGAGATTGCCGATACATAAATGGCAAGAAGGCGACCGGCAGGTAAAACAGATGCTACAGGACGGCGTGGTCGAGCCCTCCCACAGCCCTTGGTCATCCCCGGTGGTGCTGGTCTGGAAGAAGGATGGCTCTGTCCGGTTCTGCGTCGACTACCGGAAAGTCAATGAGGTGACGATGAAGGACGCCTACCCCATCCCCAGAATCGAGGACAACCTTGACGCTTTGAGCGGGGCGAAGTGGTTCAGCACCCTTGATCTGGCCAGTGGCTACTGGCAAGTCGGCATGGACCAGGGTGACCGGGAGAAGACGGCTTGTGGGATGCAGAACGGCCTGTACCAGTTCGTCGTTATGCCCTTTGGCCTTTGCAATGCTCCTGCGACATTTGAGCGTCTGATGTAGCAAGTGTTGAGAGGGTTGCAGTGGCAGGTTGCGGTAGTCTACCTTGATGACGTGATCGTGTGGGGGGCAGACTTCGAGGAACATCACAAGCGGCTGACCACGGTCATGGAGCGATTCCGAGCCACCGGCCTGAAGCTCAAACCGAAGAAATGCGATCTCTTCAAGACGGAGGTGTCCTTCTTGGGTCACCTCGTGTCGGACAAGGGAGTAAGGACGGATCCGGAAAAGGTCGCAGCCATCAGGAATTGGCCGCAACCTGGGCCTCGCGTCCTACTACCGGCGCTTCATTGCGAACTTCGCCGAGATTGCTCGCCCCCTCCATGCCCTTACCACCAAGAGCCAAAGGGCGTTCTCCTGGTCGAGTGCTTGCCAGTCAGCATTGGAGCATCTCAAGGACGCATTGACCACCGCACCCGTGTTGTGCTACCCGAATACGGAGCGCCGCTACGTCCTGGACACAGATGCCAGCTACTGCACCATCGGAGCAGTGCTGTCGCAGGAGGGGGACGATGGTGAACGATTGGTCGCCTATGGCAGCCGTACCCTGTCTAAAGCCGAACGCAACTACTGTACCACTCGGAGAGAGTTGCTGGCCGTGGTCCATTTCGTTCACTATTTCAAACACTACCTTCTTGGTAACCGGTTCCTGCTTCGAACGGATCACGGATCGCTGCGATGGCTGTTCAACTTCCGCAAACCCGAGGGGCAGACGGCCAGGCGGATCCAGAGGCTGGGGTGCTACGAGTTCGGTGTGGAACATCGGGCGGGTAGGAAGCACACGAACGCCGACGTCGTCTCTAGAATCCCGTGTGGCCAGTGTGGGCGATCAAAAGAAGCAAGTCAAGAATGCTTTACTAAAGAAAGCCCCCTTGCTCAGCGGGACGCTGACTTGCAGCTGAGCCAGTCGCGCGATGCTGGGAAGACGCAACCAGGGGAGGTGCAGGTGGGAGCCATTACGGGGGCTACGCAGGAAGAAGCTACCACCACGGAAGGGCTCCTGGAAGCCTGGGACCAGGAAGAACTCAAACAGGAACAAGTAGTGACCCAGAGTTGGACAAGATCGTGCGGTGGCTGGAAGACGGGGTCCCCAAACCCAGCTGGCGGGACGTCTCGGCGCTGGGTGAAGGCCCAAAGTACTGGTGGGCTAAGTGGGAGACGCTGCGGCTGTCCCAGGGCGTATTGCAGGTGAAGTGGGAGCAGCCCAATGGCGAACCGCCGGTGTGGAAGGTTATGGTACCACGGGTGAAAGTTTTGCGACTGGCGCATGACAATAGGACTTCAGGACATTTGGGGATTACCCGGACCGTCGCACGGCTGAGACAGGCTCCGGTGTTCTGGAGGGAGATGCAACGCCAGGCAGAAGAGTGGTGTCAAAAGTGTCACAAGTGCGGGTCAAAGAAGTCACCTCCTCGACCCCTCAAGGCCCCACTTCAACAGTACCTGGTAGGGGCTCCGATGGAGCGCCTCGCGATCGACCTCACGGGTCGATTTCCGAGGACGAGGACAGGGAATTATAGCATCATGTCGGTGGCCGACTACTTTACGAAGTGGGTGGAGGCGTTTCCGATCCCGGACCAGACTGCTCAGACTGTCGCCAAAGTCCTCGTCGAACAGGTCATCACCCGGTTTGGAGCTCCCCTCGAGATCCACACGGATCAAGGGAGGGAGTTCGAAGCCGAGCTCTTCCAGGGCACCTGTAAGCTGCTCGGCGTCCAAAAGACCCGAACCACGCCGTTTTACCCCCAGTCCGACGGGATGGTGGAGCGGTTCAACCGCACAGTCAAGACGATGCTGAGCCTGTTTGTTCATGAGAACCAGGACGATTGGGACGAACACCTACCGTACGTGATGATGGCGTACCGCTCCTCCCAGCACGACAGCACAAAATTCACGCCTAACATGCTGATGTTGAGAAGTGCGGCTTCCGTTGGACCTGGTGGTGGGCCAGCCGGAGAAACCAAAGGCAGGCGCAGCAGAGCACGAATATGTGGAGGGGTTGAGGACAAAGATTTGCCCGTCATCATCTGCGGAAGAGCCAGACATATCAAAAGCGACATTACGATCGTCGAGCAGAAAGTGCCAGCTATAAGCCTGGCCAACCTGTGTGGATGTATACCCCCTCCAAGAAAGTGGGTCGCACGCCCAAGTTGCAGTGCTGGTGGGACGGGCCCTTCGTGGTGACACAGAAGATCGATGATGTCACGTTCCGCGTGCAAGAATCCCCTCTAGCCAAAGCCAAGGTGGTTCATTCCAATCGGCTTAAGCCGTATCTGGGCGACGCCGAAGTGGACTGGTGGAGGCGCGTAGCGCAGAACCTCCCAAAAGGGGGACCGCCACCAACCCAAGACCAGGAGGTGACGCTACCACCGAGTCCGTCGACTGACACTAACCGGGAGGACCCGCCGGCTGGGGTTGGTAGTCAGTTTGCCAAGGAGGGACCACTACCAGTTAAGACGGGGAAGGGGACTCTGCCGGAGGCGACGGCGCCTGCCGCCCAAAAAAGGACCGGGCAGCGAGGTCGCCGGATCCGATACGGAATTGGCCGAGCCCGAAGGGGGACAGGCCTCTTCACCACCATCGGCGCTGGCTCCTGGGAGAGTCACCCGAGGTGGCCGGAAGATAATCCGACCAAGCCGTTATTGCCAACAAATAACCAAATGCTCTTCTTTTTCTTCCCCCTGCAGGATGGACCCGGACCCGATTCATTGCCCGCACTGTGACCAGACGTTCGGGAGGAGTAGGAACTTAAAGAGGCACCTAAACACCGCGTGTGTGGCGCTCCACCCGGAGCGCCCATACTCCTGCCAGAGAGGGTGCGGAGTTCGGTTTTTTTAGGGCCGATGTCCGCGCCAGACACCACCGGTTCTGCCAAGGGGACAGCGTGGCCGTGGTGATGGCGGAGGCCGATGCGCTGGAGGTGCACGCCAGTGACGACGACATGGGACAGGCCCCGTCCCCGCCTCATCTCTCCCGGCAGGGGACCCCAGACCCACCTCCATTCGGACGGTGTGGTCCGGCAGGACGGTCCCCGTCGCCACCGCCACTAAAAAGACGGGTAAGTCCAGTGTCGTCAGGGGGCCGGGGGGCCGCAACAACCCGGAGCGGTCCTCCCGGCCTTCTCGCCCTGAACAGGACAGGTCGCCTGGTCGGCGGAGCCGGGACCGGGCCGAGCGACCCTGCCAGCCACCACCCCGGCGGAGTCCCGACCGGCGATTCCCCCGGAGCCGTGCCCAGGGCAGGCGTCCTCGCTTCAGCAGGGCAGCGGAAGCAAGCCCTGGTCGCCCCCAGCCGACACAGGTGGAGGGCGGAACGCTGACGGAACCCCCGATGTCCCCTGAGGTTCCGGTCCAACCGTGGAATGGCCAGCGGAGGGTTCTGCCGGCCGGGTGTCGGGTGAGCCTTCCGGACGGGACCTCGCTGCGACTGGAGACGGCCGGCACCCTCCACCCGGACAACACCAACAGGGAGGCCGCCACGCACATGCTGGAACCCCTGTGCGAGCATGCGCGGGACGAATGGCGGCTCGAAAGTGCAGTCCATGGAGCAGACGAGGTCGGCCACCGGCTGATGCGGACACGGGTGGTCCACACCTATGAAGTGCCTGGGCGTCTCCTGCAGACGTATCAGGGACGGCAGTACGGCCAGCACTTCGTAGATCCCTCCGTGTCCGCTCAACCTTCACTGGGAGGAATGCTGCCCCCTGGAGCGCCTCCGCCACCGCGCTACCCCGATGGCGTCCCCCGAGAGTTCTGGGAGCAGCTGTTCCGGCAAACGGAGTTCCAGCGCCGGCCGCCACCCACCAACTAAACCCTAGACTTGTTCTTTGATTTCTTGTTCTTTCCTTGCATTTTCTTTTGTTGTTGTTGTTTTGAATGCTGTAGTAATTTTGTTGTGTCATGCGCCTCCGGGCCGGGTCTTCCTGGTTGTCCGGTTGCGGATGCCGGCGGCCTGTTTGGGGACAAACAAGGTCCTCGAAGGGAGCGGTGTGGCGTCCGTGCCGGTAGGCCGCCAGAGGGCACCAGCGCGGTTCCACGGTGGAGCCGCGCAGTGGAGCCCCTGGTGGCCGGCGGGGAGGCCCGTTCTTCCGGGCGGCGCATGCGCAGTAGTATTGTTGTTGCCTCGTTGCTGAAGAGAATAGTTGTGTTTTGCAGTGTACGTTTTTGTGAGGAATAAACAGCCTGAACCAGCAGAAACGAGTATACCTGTGTTGGAGTCCTTTTTGAGTGCGTGTGAGAAACACCAGAATTGTTCAACGCTACAATAGAGTGTCTCATAAACAACAATATGCATACATGTAAAACATATAAACAATATTAAAATGTCATTCCAGGACCACCGTACTATATACAGATGTCACCGATACACGGCAAGTACCTCCTCAGTAGTGACGTCTGGTGGTAAACCCATTCTTAACTAGATTTGACCCCAAAACATATTTTGGTCTGCCTCGGACGACCAGGTTTGCACAAAACAATAGCAATCCTTCAAAATATTCTCCAAAATAGCGTTTTGGAGCCTTCGAAAAGAAAACAATGTGAATGACAGAGTTCAGAAATGCAAGGTTCGTAGACATCATATAGTTGTATCAGGTGCGGGCCATATGTGAAATCTTTCATAACCCAAACCTGAGAGAATTCACAGACAAAAATGTATAGTCACGTGACCAAGTACAATTGCTAGGAATCAAATTTGGCCGCCATTGACGCGAAAAGCGGCTTTTTCCTTGTTCCCTCCTTTTTTTTTTACAAAACTGTCTTGTTTTCGGATAGGCTAATTCAAGACTTCTTAATTTAAAAGAAATCAAGAACATATAATATTACCTTATGAATCGTATTGTGCACATATTTAACAAAATCTCGGTTTGCCCCTACAAATAGTTAGACCTACAACGCCCTTTTACGATGACTTTATAATACCAAAATGTTGACTAAAAACCCAAATTATGAATGTATTTACAAATCTAAAGTGACATACCCTCTGTTGGCCAACCAACACAACTGATAATTTCAGGACAATCGACCGACGTACAAATTCCATGGAGAACGACTATTGCAGCTTTGGGGTTTTATGTTGGAAAATAAATCGAGGGACGCATATTATGTCCCCGATCCTGATCTAGCTAAGCTTGTCTGCTATTGCCAACAAATCAGTCAGGAATTTGAGGACGTACCTCCCCGGATAGATATTAAATCTTACCTGCCATTGCTGACAGCATCACAACCAAAGCTGCTTCTCCGTCCATTGTCCAAGATGCAGTGAATTCTGGGCACAAACGCACTACGATGTATCACGACACTGAACAACACTTGGGTAACAGCCTCAACACACCACAACGATACTCACATACCACAACGATGAGGAATGCGTCTAAAACGGTACCGTGTATGACGCTATGATCCAGAGTCTGTTATGCTGATCGTATATCACCAAGTATACAAACCAAGGCACAGCTCGCCCCAGCAACAACGCAGCCGTGTACCACGGAACAGGCTTACGTCATAGGAAGCCTAGCCAATCATGAACTAGCCTGGAACGTTTTTACAATAAAATGAAACGTGAAATATTGTAATAAAGAAGTTTTATCTTTGCTATTAACGTGATCATATGATATTGATGGGAACGTTAGAAGGCCTTGAAAAGGCGACTTATTCAAACGCATTATGCCCTGTAGGCAACAAGCTTGCTCAATTAACGAACCTTCATAATAAACCACCATAAAAACCTTCATAAAGAAGGCCAAGTGCATATCTCATCACGAGTTGTGACTGGTGAACATCGTAAACGGGGTATGGTATAAATATTCACATGATTTGGGGCGATTCTCTTTACAGAATTTCATTGATTGATTGACAATGTAATAAACCCCTCAACAGGTGATCGCGATACAGAGTGTGCCTTTTGTTTTGTATTAAATGCAAAATTGGTCCTCAAAATGACAAGTACCCCTCTGTAGACCTTCTCAAGATGGACAACTTTCCCTCGAAAGCTTAATTAGTCAACCGCTCACAAGATTGAAATTGTGGCTCTCCTGAAGAAGGAAACTGACTCCTAAACTAATGGTGCTTTTCACGCGAATAAAACGGACGCTGAACTGGCCAGCAAAAGCAAGTGCCACTCTCGCAATTACAAACAATGGAGATGCACTATCAATTTGCCCAATGAAGACAATGTGTCTAATTGTGCCCCGACCCTTCTCAACGCGGTTTCTGAGAAACACTAATGGGAAGAAAGTTTGACATCTTTGAAATGGTGTATAAAAAATTGCGTCAGAAATGTTTATTGAAAATGAGCTTTGATGAATAACATGAACGGTAAACATTTTCAGGAAAACGAATTACATTTCAACTAACAATTAATTGAGAATATTTCTTACAAAAATGACACTTTAGTTGTTAAAATGTTAATAATAATTGATAACATAACTAATCTGTAATTGAAAAAGTAATCTCAAATATTTTATTTGTCAAAAGAATTATCTTTAGTCTAAAACTATAGTATTGTACAGATTTCAAACTGCAGACAAGACTTATGGTATTGTATGAATGAGATTGGCTACATCTTCATGTAATGTAAAGACAACATTCCGCATACATGTACAGTGTATACCTTTTTCTACACTCTGTACACTTTAAGTATGTGGTTATGGTTTGTCCTAGTGATTTAAAACAAGAATCGTACAAATCAAATTTATCTTCTTCACCCATGATGAAAAATGGGCAATGACAACGACAAATTTGTGTGCTTGTTACAAGTGAAATCACTGGTTTATGTGGTCATAAATATCTGCACGACAGTAAAAAGTTTGAAATTCATTTACTTCGTAAAGTTATGATTACATGAATCTGGGACTGAGGAACGTTTTCAATTGTGTTAGAAAATACTGAAATACTAAGAAAATGTTCTTGACTCTCTATAGACTCTCTACAACTGCCAAAGTGGCGTCAGGTTGCAACATTTTTTTGCGTCACACGTATAATGTGTTGGTGTTCCTGTTACATGGCGAGCCATGTTATTTGTCATGTAAGTAGACAATCAAGTCAGAATAAAAAAAACATTATGTTTAAAGTACTAAGATCTACCAGTGCTATAATTTGAAACTGCAAAAGGTTAAAGAAAATATTTTGCATCCATACATAAAGCATGTCTCATTTTGGACCCGTTATTTATAGAGTGACAAGATGACAAGAATTGCTATTCACACATCAATTGGCAGACTTTACATAAACATTTAGGCTTATGTCACTAGCAGTAACGAAATATATCATGAAGCCAACAAGGTCTGTCACTGCATGGAATGCAAAATAACAATGTTCCCCGCACCACCGTGATGGGTTTGTTATGAGTGTTCTTTTGGACATGCAAGCGGTCTTTGTGTACATTTGAGGGTTGTTCATATGTGAGAGAATGATACACATGTAGCTTGTAACAGCAGAAGTCAATTTGGGTTCTTAATACTGGCTGAGATTGTAGAATCACCAAGTAACTCTGTATAGCTGGAAATGTGTGATGGAAGAATGTTGCCGACAGTGTGGAAGCAGATAGGTTGGCGTACCTTCATTTCATGGGCTACAGAATTTGCGTCACTGAATAGAATAAAATGCGAAATGGTTCATTGGAAAAAGTACCATACTAAAATCATGTTTGCTAAAATAAAGCATATCAAATATCACTTGCCAAATGTTAAGCACCTACTGGACAAAATCACCTTAAAAGCTGTCAC